TCTTGAGGTTACCCCTCCTATTCATCCTACTAAGAAACTCAGAATACAGATGTGAAGGTATCCATTATATTCATTTATAATTCTTTTCAATTATTCATTTAACTGCTCTTTTATGAAGAAATAAGCCAGTTTAAGTATACTTTAAGAATCTGCCTGACATACAGATGCCAATCAATTATTACAGGTCACTTGTAACACTACTGTAGTATCTGGTGTATAATCCTAGCAACGAACAGGTTCACAATCTCACCCTTATGTTGCTAATTTTAATTAACTATGAACTAAATAAATTTAGTGTTCTTTAAAGTGTGTATACATGTTATTAGGATTCGCAATAAAGCTGCCTATGCTATAGTACATACCTAGGGGAAGGATAGGGACCTGAGGCCCTCCAGATATCGATGGACTACTTCCCATCATAATATTTAACTTTTAATCATTCTGTTGGAAGGTCTTTCTGTATTTTAGGGGTTGTTTCCACTCAAATGTATGGAATCAAATATCTGTGAAGGTTTTGTTTTGTCATTTAAAGGTCTGTGGACTATTAATCAACTTAAACTAATAGTTATTTACTTAGTTCAGTCTGTTTAGAAAACTATTTAGTTCTATGGGCCAGATCCTCATCAGGCTCAGCCTCATAGTCCAAATTTGAAGATAACCAGAACCACTCAGTTGTCAAAATCCCACATGCTGGGTTTCAATGCACCCAAAGAGCCAGCTGGAAGCACCAATCATAGGGTTGGCAAAGCACAGCTTTCTCCCATCCTCCTGAAGAATTTAACAGAATTTAACCCCTGCTTGGCAGCTGTCAAGAGGGAGGTTAAATATTTGTTTGGGCTGCACATGTCTGTTCCCAACAGAGCCATTTGACAGCTCTTCACATTTTAAGCACGATTCCAATGCAAATACCCTCCTGAATAAGAAAGGGGTGTGCGTTGGAACCCCCTGCTTAAACAAAAGGAATAAACCTTCCTTTTAGCAGGGGTTTCCATGTAAACCCTTTCCTGAATCTGCAAAATGTTTGCATAAAATCCTGGAAACTGAACAAGATTTAATCCTTGATCATCAGTTTATGAGCAGGGTTAAATCTTGATACCTTAGGTAAAGGTAAAGGTACCCCTGACCGTTAGGTCCAGACATGGACGACTCTGGGGTTGCGTGCTCATCTTGCTCTATAGGCCGAGGGAGTTTGTCCACAGACAGCTTCCGGGTCATGTGGCCAGCATGACTAAGCCGCTTCTGGCGAACCAGAGCAGTGCATGGAAACGCCGTTTACCTTCCTGCAGGAGCGGTACCTATTTATCTACTTGCACTTTGGCAGGCTTTCGAACTGCTAGGTGGGCAGGAGCTGGACTGAACAACGGGAGTTCACCCCGTTACGGGGATTCGAACCGCTGACCTTCTGATTGGCAAGCCCTAGGCTCAGTGATTTAAACCACAGTGCCACCCGCGTCCCTTAGATGCATGCATGTGATCCCAGTTCAGCCAATGCAGAATTTTAACTCCATCCTCATGCCCACCAACTGATGACATGACTGATGTCAGCTAAGGGCAGGTGGGTGTGGTTTGGGGAAAACAACCTTGTGAGTCAAATTGGACCCCCTGAGATGAGCCTGTGGGACAGAGGTTCCTTTACATGGTAAGAATAAGAGAAAATGAAATTACAATGTCAAGTATACAAGTTTAAGTTTTCTCAACATGAGAGGTGGACATTTGTTAACTTCTCACAAAGATGTAATCTTTATGGTTAATTAAACAGACCATCTGCTTCAAGAATAATTAGTATACTTTTTTGTGCATAGAACCCAAAATACATTTTGGCTGCCTTTAAAATGTGCAGTTAAAAATGGCATTTGTGTAGGATGATTTTCTGGTTAACAAAGCTGGTGGTACACTTCTGAACATCATGGTCATATGGCCTAGTATAGGAGTTCCCAAACTGGAGTCTATGGTTCACCACTGGTCTGCAAGCTTCATCATGTAGTTTGCAGTGTATCTGGGGATTTGTAGTTGAAGATGAAAGACGGCGCAACTACATTCATACCTTGGTTCTCAAACGCCTTGTGACTCAAACATTTTGGCTCCTGAACGCCGCAAGCCTGGAAGTGAGTGTTCCGATTTGCGAACTTTTTTGGGAAGCTGAACATCTGACGCTGCTTCTGCGGCTTCCACTTGAGTGCAGGAAACTCCTGCAGCCAATTGGAAGTTGCGCCTTGGTTTTTGAACGTTTTTAGAAGTCGAAAGGACTTTTGGAATGCATTCAATTCGAGAACCAAGGTACCACTGTACTGCATTAAATTTTGCTGGCTTCTTTTATTTCTTACATTGTAATACAAGAAAATACAATATATAAGTAGTAAAAGAAGCAATAAATTACAATTTTAAAAAGTATACAGCATCCAGGATAGTGCACTACAAGTGCTACAACAGACAGAAAATCATTGAGTGGTCTACCAAGACCCTCAGCAATTTTCAAGTGGTCCGAGGGGGCGGGGGTCTGTGTGAAAGTTGGGGAACCACTGGCCTCTTGTATGAAACAGCCTTTCTAAAGTTCCTGGACTAGTTGTATGATTTCATCAGTGGGTATTTCTGGCTTCTGAGTATTGAGTATGTGTTCTGAATATTAAGTATCTGAAATAGTGCCACTACTGAAAACTGAATCTCCACCGAATTGAACATTATTTTTGAGCAGTACTTAATAAGCAAAGCAAGCACCAGACACAGAAAAAGATCCACTGGGTAACAGACATGGCAGATCCTTATCATAAATCCACATCATACCAACTGTGAACTACATGCACTTATTGAGAGAGAACATTAGCTGCATTCAGTGCTGTGTAATTTAGTGCTATGTGAATGAGTCTAATTCTCTTTTTGGGCCCACACATTCCTCCCTCTCCTCCTCTGCAGCCAAGAAGGACTACTTTGGAAGCTTTCACTTTGGCTAACTCAGCTTGAATTTCATCCAAACCAGGGATTAAGTTTTTAACATGAAGCATAGTTAGCCAGCATCATAAAACATGGGTTAAAATTGGCTGCTTTGAAACCACCACAAAACTGAGACAGCACAACCGATCAGGCAATAAAAAGGTTGTGCGGGAGGGGATGAGCACTCCAGGTACTACAAATGTACTGTATTGCAGGCCCAACATGTTTAAAAAAAGTCTTCAAGGGCACATTTTATAAACAATTATCACCAGTTTTGCTTGGATGTGAGAACTGTTTATAAAAAAGCATGCCCCTGAAACGATAATTTTCTGAAAGCTTTTGGGCCTACAATAATTTTTCTGAAAGGCATGGGACCTACTGTAAGTAAGCTTTTCCTTCCCCTTTTGTTCTTGTTTTAAAAAAAGCCATAGCAAGACCATTTCCCCTTATGTGGATGAAACAAACAGGGCTTAATAAAAAGCAAAAGCTTTTGAACACCTTTGCTTGCATGACTGGGAGGAGAAAAGGAGGGAAGCACATGAGCCCAGAAGGAAGCTAAGCTCATT